TATAACATTTCATTATTGTCTTACTAATAAGGTGGGTTAGAGCCACAACATGCGACAACCTTTCCCAACACAAGTTGGCGGATTATCGGAGGAGGCTAGAGCGACTTTGGTAAGGAGAGGTAACTAGAATACTTTGAAATGTAATAACTTTTTTTGATGGAGTACATGTATTTTCCAATTTCGTTTAACTTAAGTTTATCATTTCTTTTTGTATATCATTTACAATCCATACCCTGCCAACATCGTTGCATGGCATTGCTAGCAATTCCCGGGTCATATCGGTCAATGGTGCACGAGAGTCCCTCTCATTTGTCACCATATCATGGAGTGGCATTTTCCGGATAGATGCCTTCGTCAGTTTGGTCGGGAGCAATGCATTCCTTTGGAGGTCCCCGAGAGTCAAAGAGCGTTTCACCACCGACATGGTCGGCAAGGTGAGCAAGATTGGCCCGTGAAGGTGAAGAAATTCATCAGGATGTGGGAGAACCGACAAGATTTTGAGATTGTCACTCCTACAGCTGTGGGTCGAATGGGGTATCATGACCCATACATGGATAGATATCGACAACAATCGGTTAGGTACGTGACTCCGGAGGGTGCGGCCGATGGTGCATTGGTAAGTAATTTCGTGTAATCAATTAAATATATTGCTTTTTCATGGACATATAATTAGTTTTAGCTTGCTAACTTCTTAATGTGATTTAGGTTGAGGAGTATCAAGTATGTGGTGGAGTAAGGAGATGGGTGATGCTATTAGCAAGAAGATCTTATCTTAATTTTTGAAATTCTCCTCCACCATCCGTGTAAAGGCGACGAATAGTAGTGGAAATATAGTTTTCAACCATTTTTCTAAAAGTAAGAAAAACTTGAAGAACGTCAGATTTGTTGTGTAAAGGATAATACCAAGCTTAGCCAGTGAAATTATCAATAATAATCAAGTAATAGTGATACCCATCAATGGGAAGAAACCGGAGCAGGGCCCCAAACATCAGTATACAAGAGATCAAATGGTCGATCACTAGATAATGAGGAAATAGAAAATGGAAGTTAATGACTTTTATTGGAAAGACATGCATCACAAGGAGAACTAGCAAGGGGAGTCGAAACCGGAAGAGAGAATGACCGAATGAGACTAGTGAGAGAATAATGTGAAGGGTGACCAAGTCGAGCATGCCATGAAGTTGCTGATTTCCGAGTCGTCACAAAGGCCATGCAAACATTCTTTACTTCACACGGCAACTCATACACATCACCGTTGTTTTCCCCCTTCAGAAGCTGCTCCCCCGTGCGAAGATCCTTCACAACAAAATGAGTGGCAAAAAATTCCAACGACACAGGATTAGTTTGGCATAATTTAGCGACCGAAATTAAATGTTTCTTGATAGTAGGAACACATAATATATCACTCAAATGTAGGTCTGGTAGTCGGTCTGTATCCAGTAGATACTGATTACCCGGTATTCGGTATACCGAAAATACCCAGTGTACCCACCGAATACCGATACCGAATGTTAACCGGTATACCGAATACCGGGTAATACATAGTAGGTTTTGTCATTTTTCACCAATACCATACATAAACTAACGACTAATGTGATGCCAACACACAGGTTAATGATAAGCGCTTGTGTTGAAATCCAACCATTTCGACTTACCACACATTTTACGAGTCTATCATTCAAACTTCAAACCAAAACTCGACATAAACTACCCATTTCAGCACAAATCCTTGCTTAATTGGGACTCGAATATGATAGATTAATGATGAGCTTCTTGTTTATAGCAAGCAAGCATATAGATTACTTTTACCCTGTGTTTTTTTAAGTGTTTTAGATGGTTGAGGTGTTTTGTTGGTTTTGTGTGTTTGCAGCTGCTGCACTATGACATAAAGTACATTCGTTGTTTTGTAATGGTGGACAAAAATGGCAAGGCGATGGGGAGACTGGAGTTCCCAGCAGTCGATTGCATGTGGTTGTTGCCATTTCTTACCTTCTCAAGCTCAAGGGTCCCCACTCCTCGACCACCACTATCGCTGCAGGTGGCGACTGCTGCAGCTTCGGCGACAACTACGGCTGCGTTTTGCTTCTTTTTTTAATAATCGGTATTACGGTATGCCGGTATACCATCGGTATATACCAGCTATTATCCGGTATTACCGAATGGAAAATTATACGCCCGAATACCAATACCGCTGGTATTCGGTATACCGAATACTGATTTACCGATTACCACCCCTACTCAAATGAAAGGTGTGAGCACCAGTACAAAGTGATGAGGATCCAATATGAGAAATGGCCAAACCTGAACCATCACCCACTAGAATTTCGTCTGGGTCTGAGTAATCTAAATAAAGAGAGAGATGGCCCAAATCCGAAGTCACGTTGTGACTGGCTGCTGAGTCTAATAACCATGGGCCTGAGGAAGGAAAGCCACCAGATGGGCCCGCATGAGTGGTATTTGCCTGGGCCTGCCAAGTCTGGTTAAAGGCTTGTATGGCCTGTGGGAATAATTTGAAACACTGCCTCACCGAGTGACCAGGCCGGTCGAAAAAACTGACAGATGATTGTGGGTCGGCGAGTCCAAATGGGCTTGAAAGAAGAGGAACTTAGGTCGCGCTGGTGTTGCTGCGGGGAGAAGCCCAGCTGCTGCGGAATGTTAGAGAAGCCGAACTGCTGCTGAGGGCGAGGGGAACCACGCAGGGAGGACCTCCCGATGCCAGAGAAAATATTGCCCGTGATATCGCCATTACCGTCGTTGTTGCTGCTTCGACGTGGAGGCACCTGCGATTAGAAAGAAAGCCGTGGGGGCATCGGTTCGGGCCTGCACATTTAGGTCCGCCTCAAACTCGACTAGAGAGTCAAGGAGATCTTCAATGGTGATAGCCGAACCTCGAGCGAACAGCAGCAGCAAACTTATTGTAATTTGCTCCTAATCCGCGAAGACAATGGACCACAAGATCCAAATCCTTTATAGGTTCATCAATAAGAGCAAGTTCAGCAGCGGTGAGTTTGAGATCATTAACATAAGAAATAACATCTCGATCTCCCATGGTGGTGGCAGCCAATTTCCCTTTCAGATTAATGATACGAGATTGAGAGCGACTAGCATACAGTTTCTCCAGAATCAACCATGCTTCTCGAGATGTAACAACATCATACACATAAAAATATAGAGATTCAGATATAGAACAGCGAAGAGCATGGAGAATGAGTTTATCTTGGCGATACCAGCGACGACATGCAGGATTGGGAGTGGTGGTATTCTCTGCTGTGATCGTTTGTGCAGGAGCCACGCTAGTTCCATCAATGAAGCCAATGAGATCCAATCCCATGAGGAGGGTCTCCAATTGTGATCTCCAGGAGTGAAAATTGGTCGGAGTCAATTTTAAAGGCAATTGAGCAGTTGGATTGAAGATAATAATTGCATCTTCTGCAGCCTGCAGGTACAGATGTGTTTGAAGCTGAGGAGCCTCAAGCCTGTCATGGTTAAGGAAACTGGAAACAGGGGAAGAGGAAAATACTCATGGGAAAGAGGGAAGAATTGTGTTTGAGCTAGGTGATCTTATCTTGCTCTGATACCATGAAAGAGGCTTTGCAAAATTGATATCATTGAGAGAATCTTAACTTGATTGTATTGAATGATAAGTCTAAGCTAATATACAGATTTGTACAACAAGAATGGCTCCCACGTTCCATGAAGTTAGGAACCGAACTAGTAGTGGGAGAAGTAGGGAAAATAAGAGAAAAAATAAAGACAAATTTATTTACATATATCCTTAATACATCGGACTCTGGGTTACAGCGGTAATAAACCAGTTTGTTCCAATAACTCGAGTTGTTGGGAGAATGTTATGCTGGATTTTATACCGTTCTCTAACACACTCCCTCAAACGAAAGCCAACTCATGAGCTTGAAGTTTGCACAGACGATCACCATACCTTGTGCTTTAATCAACTGTTAATACTGAGGGTCGTGGAGATTTGAACACACGGTCACTTGGCCAAACCAGCTTTGATATATACCATGTCATAAACCAACTGGTCCGAATAACTCGAGTTATTGGATCCAACTGGTTTATGACTAGCATTGAAATTATTTTAATTTACTGTTCCTCTCTAGGGATGACAAAAATAACCATATCCGTGGATACCCGCCCAAATTCGATCTAATTGGGTGGGTAAAAATCACATTCGAAAGATATTTTTGTGGGTATAGGTAAAACCCAAACTCGAATATTGCGGGTGATGAGTGAGTGAGCATGATTTTCTCACTATCCAAATCAAATCGTCCGAATATACACATACATATGTATTTTGTTTAAGAAATTATCATTATTTTTATGAACATATTTATATTTATATTTATCATACATATGTAATATTTTCATGAAATTGTATTCTTTTCAACTAATTTTCTTCATTTTAGTAATTTATTATTGTAATTTGTCCGTAATGTCAGTATATTTGTAATTGTTAACATATTGGTTGAACTTATAGAAAAATAATTAATTATTAATAATCGTGAATATTTTAAACCCGAATGGGTATGGGTAAAACCGAACTATTTGTCTATTTTGGGTAGGATAATGGATAACCTGACGTGCAGCTTCCAAACGCCAGGTTTACCTGTCGCCCAGTCAATGCGGTTTCCGTCCATTTTGACTGGCTCGGTTTCGAACGAGCACCCGGAATTTCGGTTAGCTTCCCTATCCCTATTGCCCAATAGGAAGATGAGAGACAAAAAGTGATGTCGATCCACCTAAAACATATGATGATATTTATGGCCAAGACAGGTTTAGCTTTGCATTACATGGAAATCACCATCTGAAATTTGCATTTGAATTTAGTTTCCGTGGTTGTTCACTTGTCCAAATTGTTGCTTAACTTTCGGAACCCCTACGCCAGATATAGGAATCGCGGCCATCAATTGTTAAAGCAAAGTCTTGGTCCTTGCCTCCTTGGTCTTGGACATAAATTTGGCTTAAATACAGATTATGATACACGCTATTCGATTGTTAAATTTAATCGGGAGCAGGTGCAACTTGTTCGTCTGCAAGCAAAGGCTCTTCTTCACGACCCTGATCTTTAATATATCAGGAGCAAGAGGCTACAGCTTCGCATCACTCAGAACCAGCTGCAGTAAAAGCTTTTTCTTATACTAAATACTGGAAATGGGCTATGACGAGAAAATTCGCATCATTTCCACAGAAACTATCAAACCATCTTCTCCAACTCCGAGCCACCTCGCCAAATTCAATCTCTCCCTCGTCGATTACTACACGGTTGACGCAGCTTATATGCCCCACGTCTTCTTCTATCCGGCCCACGGTTCGAAATCTTCAGAAACAGATCAGAGGCTCCAGGCCCTGAAATCTTCACTAGTCCAGGCCCTGGCCCGCTTCTACCCGCTGGCCGGGCGGTTGTCGGCCCAGAATCATGTGGGTCGTCCGGCCCATTCAATCATCCATTGCAACGACGAGGGCATTCCTTTCTCTACGGCCCGTGGCAGCTTGGATTCACCCATGACTCTGTTTCTCGCCAGGGGACCCGACGCCGACTCACTCGAGCAATTCCTCCCCTTTCCGGCGGCGCGGCTCCTCACGGCGGCGGATATCGAATCCGCGCCGCAATTCGTCGCCAGAGCCACAATTTTCCCCTGTGGCGGGATCGCCGTTGGGATCTGCGCGCTCCACAAGATCATGGACGCGCACACCGTCGCCAATTTCATGAACCTCTGGGCCGCCGTCGCCCGCGGGCAGGGGAGCAGTGAAGTAGGCGCTGCCACCGCAGCTTACGCTCACTACCGCGCGGCCACGTCGTTGTTTCCGCTGAATCGGCACGATGTGGGGCCTGTACCCGTGAATTCAGGATGTGAGGAAGGGAAGAAGATGGTGACGAGGAGGTTCGTGTTTGATGGGGAAGCCATTTCCGCCCTGAAATGCAGAGGTAGGAGCGACCCAGTCCCCAACCCGACCCGATCCGAGGTGGTTGCCGCGTTCATGTGGAAATCTGTAGTCAACGCCACCGCTGAAGCGGTAAAGTCAACCGACGGTGGCAAGGCAAAGCCGATAACGGTTCAGGGATTGATGAAGATGAAGAAGAGGAAACTCAGCCCCAGCAACAGCAACGGTCAACTGCAGAACAAGTGAAGAAGAGGAAGATTCAAACAACTCTACCAAAACGCAGCAGCAAAGGGAGTGGAGGATAAAACGACAGCGCTGCAACTTACTGCATATACATTAGAGTTTTTATTTCTTTTTCTCTGTAAATTCCTAGCTTAGACACGTGTAGTAGTTTTAGTGGACAAGGCCGTTATGGTTGTTTGTCCTGTAGCTTCCATTTTTCCTGTATATACTCTGCAGCTGAGCTGCTGTGAATGACAAGAAGGGATTTCACAAATCACCCTGTCCTTTTCTAAACATTCTCATGGTATCAGAGCCTTGCTCATACCTCTAGGGTTTCTAACAATCATCATCCATGGCGGAAGCTGAACAAACCCAGCAGCTGTTGCCTTCGCGGCTGGCCCTGGATCCTTATTATGTCAATCCCAACGAAAACCTCTCTCAAGGCATCATCTCTGTCAAGCTGGATGGCTCCAACTACCACGTCTGGAGCAGATCTATGCGAATCGCCCTCAAAACCAAGAAGAAGCTTGGGTTCATCGATGGATCTCTTCCCATGCCTGAAACCACTGATCCAAACTATGAAGCTTGGGAACAAAGCAACACCAACGTCGTGGGTTGGATCTTAAACTCCCTGCTGGAACCAATTGCAGAGGCAGTCATGGACAATGAAACCGCACAAGACATGTGGAAAGATCTTCGAGAAAGGTATGGTGAAGCTGATTCCATTCGTCTGGCACATGTAAGAACAATGATAGCCTGTTGCAAGCAAGGGAATGATTCTGTCACTGATTTTTACAATAGACTAGGGCTCTTGTGGACTGAGTTCATGTCTTTCAAATCTATACCTGCTTGTGAATGTGGAGGTGTACCATATACCTTCACTTGTGCTACTTATGCTGCTGTGAAACAGTCACAAGAACAGGATCATACCATTGATTTTATCACTGGTCTCAATGACTCTTTTGAGATGACCAAGAACCAACTCTTGCTTATGGATCCTGCACCCAACTTGAAATCAGCATACAAACATGCTTTAAAACTGGAAAGGCAGATGGGTAAACAGCAAACCAAGGACACTTCAGGAGTGGACTCTGTGGCTCTTGCAGCACAGAATCACAACAAAGGAAAGGACCAGAAGCCAGAATATCCTCGTGAAGGAAGACAGAACAACTATCAGGGTAACAACTACCAAGGCAACAACAACTACTCAAACAGATACTCTGGAAACAATCAAAGAAGCAGCAATGAAAGCAGTGGTAATGGTCAGCAGAATCTGTTTTGCAATTACTGTAAGAAGACAAATCATGTTATTGCTGACTGATGGAGATTGAAAAGGAAAAGAGGAGAACTACCTGGATCTAATTTTGCAGCAGCAGCAACATCCAATGGGAATGGAGATCAGATGTCTGAGAGTCACAATGGAGGGAATGAGCAAGAAAACAGAAACTCAAATGTCACCACATTAAGGATCTCCAATGAAGACTGTTCTAGACTCATGATGCTACTTCAGCAATCAACAATCAATTCTGCAACCACACCACAGACACACAACTCTCAACCACAGGCCCATTCAGCCTCAAGATACATGAACCAAATGCCAGACAATGCAGGTAAATTCACTCTATCCACCTACACTGCATTTCAACAACAAGAACTCATGAATGTTTGGATCATAGACACTGGAGCATCTGATCACATGTGTTGCACTCTTACCCTTTTCACCTCATATCATCCAGTAAACAACACCTTTGTCACTCTACCAACAGGTTCAAAAGTTAAAGTAGAACATGTTGGAAATGTCCAAGTTAACCAAAATCTTACCCTTCAAAATGTCCTTCACATTCCTAGCTTTACCTTTAACCTACTGTCTGTTAGTACTCTTGCCAAAACCTTACCTATATCCCTAACCTTTCAATCCAACTTCTGTGATATTCAGGACCTTCTTTCACAGGAGAGGATTGGTTCTGCAAGAGAGGTTAGAGGACTCTATCAACTTGCAACCACTGTTCCTACCAACCATGAGTCAAGAGGGAAGACAGTAGCAGCAGTGAGTAATCCAGAGAGTGAAATAGCCAACCTATGGCATGCCAGATTGGGGCATTTGTCCAATTCTAGAGTTAGACTTTTCCAACAATGTAACCCTAAAGTACCTTTGAGTACCATTAGCCACTGTGAGATTTGCCATTTTGCTAGGCAAAAGAAACTCCCATTTTCATCCAGTTCCAACATTTGTAAAGAGGCCTTTGAAACCATTCACACTGATATTTGGGGGCCCTTGAACACTGTTTCTTATGATGGATATTCCTACTTCCTAACCATAGTAGATGATTTCTCTAGGGCAGTATGGGTCTATCTAATGAAACACAAGTCTGAGGCTAGACCTATTCTGCAACAATTCTGTACTATGGTTAGTAAACAGTTCAACAAAACTGTCAAGAACATAAGGAGTGATCAGGGACAGGAATTCCATATGAGTGATTTCTTTCGAGAGCATGGAATCACACACCAAATGTCTTGTGTAGAAAGACAGCAACAAAACGGTAGGGTAGAGAGGAAACATCAAGATATCCTAAACATTGCTAGAGCTTTAAAATTTCAAGCTAACCTACCTTTGAGATTTTGGAGTGACTGCATTTTGTATGCAGTACACATCCTAAACAGACTACCTACCCCTATTTTGTCCAACCAAACACCCTTTGAGAAACTTTACAACCAACCACCAGATTACTCTCACTTCAGAGTTTTTGGTTCTCTATGTTATGCATCTACATTAGAACATGGAAGAACCAAGTTTCAACCAAGAGCCAGGAAAGGCATTTTCATTGGCATCATTCCTGGAATTAAGGGTTACAAAATTTATGACTTAGATGCTAAGAAAGTCTTTGCATCTAGGGATGTTCTGTTTCATGAAACCATTTTTCCCTTTGCCTCAAACACCACAACAGACCAACCTAAACAACCAAACCAACTCCACCCATCAGACCAATCCAAACCATCTGACCAACCTACCTTCCCTTCTCCTTTCCCTTCCTCGTCAACCCCGGCATGTGATAATTTGCATACAGTTAATGATCCATTCATTCATGTTGCTTCTAATCCTAATTCTCCTACTCTAACATCACCTGGTTTCATCAATTTTGAAACCATGGATGAGCAAGATGCTGAGTTTAATGAGGAAGTCCAAGCAGAAGATGAAGAGGGGGGAGAAGAGGAACAAGTACCTGATGCTCATCCACTGAGAAAGTCCACCAGAACCACTGTTCCACCCGTTTGGCATAGAGATTACCATGTGGGAAGCGCCAGCAAATACCCCATTGCTTCCTACATGGACTATTCTCAACTTAGTACAAGTCACAAATCTTTTTCAATGGCAGTAACCAACATGAAGGAACCCCAAACCTTTGAAGAAGCTATGTTACATGAAGGATGGAACAGGGCAGTAATTGATGAGCTAGGTGCTTTAGATGCAAACCACACATGGGACATTGTGGACTGTCCACCAGGAAAGAAGCTAATAGACAACAAATGGGTGTTTAAAGAAAAGTTACATGCAGATGGCAGCCTAGAAAGGCAGAAAGCCAGATTAGTGGCAAAGGGTTTCACCCAAATCTATGGTGTTGACTTCCTTGACACCTTTTCACCAGTTGTAAAGATCAACACTGTGAAAACACTACTGGCAGTTGCATCAGTGAAGAATTGGTTCTTACACCAAATGGACATCAGTAATGCATTCTTGAATGGAGACCTAGAGGAGGAAGTCTACATGAAGATACCTCTAGGAATGAAAGAAATGCCAGGCAAGTGTTGCAAACTGAGGAAATCTCTCTATGGACTCAAGCAAGCAAGCAGACAGTGGTATGCAAAACTGACTGAGGCATTGACAAACTTTGGCTTCACTCAGTCTTACTCTGATTACTCCCTATTCACCAAACAAACACCTGAAGATATTCTAGTCATGTTGGTATATGTAGATGATCTTATACTCTCTGGCAACAGTTTGAAACTTATACAAGGAGCCAAGAACTACCTATCACAGCAATTCAAAGTGAGAGACCTAGGGGAGTTGAAGTACTTCCTAGGTCTGGAAATTGCAAGAAGTGCAAGTGGAATATCAGTTAGTCAAAGGAAGTATTCCTTGGACTTATTACAGGATACAGGTTTCTTAAATGGAAAACAAGTTAATACCCCATCAGACATGAAGACCAGGTTATCACAGTTCAATGATGAAGAATTGGTAAATCCTTATGAATACAAGTCATTGTTGGGAAGACTGAACTACTTGACCACAACAAGACCTGACATAGCATATGCAGTGCAGCAGCTATGTCAGTTCCAAGCTCAACCAAAGGTTTCTCATGTCAAGGCAGCACACAGAGTGCTGAGATATCTCAAAGGCAGCCCAGGACAAGGTCTGTTCTTTGCATCAGACACTGATTTCTCACTAACAGGCTACACCGATTCAGACTGGGGGGCTTGCCCTGACACTAGAAAATCAATCACGGGTTACTGTATCTTCCTTGGGAGCTCTCTTATCACTTGGAAGGCTAAGAAGCAAGCAATTGTCTCGAGTCATCATCTGAAGCAGAGTATCGAACTCTGTCCCAGCTCTCCTGTGAGGTACAGTGGATAACTCAGTTGCTGAAAGATTTGAATGTGAAATATGAAGGACCAGCTACTGTGTATTGTGACAACAAGTCAGCTATTCACATGGCAGAAAATCCCGTGTTCCACGAAAGAACAAAACACATAGAGATCGACTGCCATGTGATTAGAGAAAGGGTAAAGTCGAAGTTGATTACCTTGAAGTATGTATGCACAGATCGCAATTTGGCGGACATCTTCACAAAGGGGTTAAGTGCACATAGGTTCAAGTGGATTCTGTTCAAGCTGGGAGTATACGACATATACTCGCCAGCTTGTGGGGGGCTGATGAATTCCATGGTGAGTTCAGGGATTGATGAAGATGAAGAAGAGGAAACTCAGCCCCAGCAACGGTCAACTGCAGAACAAGTGAAGAAGAGGAAGATTCAAACAACTCTACCAAAACGCAGCAGCAAAGGGAGTGGAGGATAAAACGACAGCGCTGCAACTTACTGCA